CTTATTGCCTAATAAACAGTTTCACACATAATCATAAAACTAGTGTAAAAATTCTTACACAATTGTTTAAACAGTTTTCCAGGAGCACTTTAAATAATTACATTTTGCAAAGTGTCAATCTAAAAAAAAGCTGAAACATACAATATAATTGAAAAAGCTGATTGGAGCCAAAGTGAGGACAGCTGTCTGGAAGACACACGCCCAAGTACCTTGGATATGAACTCTGGTTGATATCTGTTACAAGCAGGTTAATAAAGGCAATGAGCGGGATAGGAATCAGGCTAATAAAAAGTTGTTGGTCGGAATTCTCATTGGCTACACATTGTTAAGCTACAGGGTATGGTTCTAGTACCTCATGCAACATTGTTAGGTTGATTTACAGCTACCATGGCCTAGCAAGCAGTTTCAAGAGACAGCTCAAAAGACGGGAAGTAGGATGTGATTGCTGACTTATTTCAATCTCTCTATGGGCCTGCTAATTTAAAAGGACTCACGTTCCTCAGATAAAACTTCTTTCCTTTTCTAAAGAGTCCTGTGTAGGAAAGAACATGAAAGTTATAAACAACAGTCAAGCTGGGAATCAAATAAAAGATGCAATAATTTTCTCAGTAGCAACACAGAAATAAAATACTTAGAAATATATTTAACTGAGATAGCAAAAGATCTCTATAGGGATAGCTATGAAACACTGAGGAAGGAAATTAGGGAGGATGTAAACACATGAAAAAACATACCACACTCTTGGATCAGCAGACTCAACATTGTTAAAATGTCCATACTATCCAAAGTGGTTTACACATTCCCTGTAATCTCTATGAAAATATTAACATCATTTTTTGAAGATCTAGAAAAAATAATTTTATGCTTCATATGGAACCAGAAAAGAACAGTAATAGCCAAAGCGACCTTAAGCAAAAAGAAGCAAATATGAAAGATTATCTTACCAGAATTTAGGTTATACTACAGGTAACAATACAACAACTTTACTGGCATAAAGAGAGACAGATCAAGGGAACAGAAAAGAGAACCCAAGTACAAAACATACTCATACTGCCATCTGATCTTTGACAAAGCAGACAGCAATATATACTGGGGAAAAGAATCCCTATTTAATAAAGGGTGCTGGGAAAATTGGATAGCTACATGTGGAAGATTGAAACAGGATCCCTGTCTCTTACCACTCCCTAAATTTTTTTTTTTTTTTTTTTGGACAGAGCCTCAAGCTATCCCCCGGGGTAGAGTGTTGG